ACAACTGATATAACAGGCCTAATATACATATGAACATGCCCATGTTTGTCAAATTCTACAGCAAGCCTTTGAAACTGAAGATCACAGTGGTATTTATTGAACACAGTAACTATGTCTTTCAAAAGTCAGATTTCCAGGTGTATCAGCTCTACTTTTACCTATATCTCCTCTTGACGTAGGAGAAACAAAGCTCCCTGTGTCTCATATTAACTATACCTTTTGTATTGTATAGAAAGCCTGACATGATTTTTTTTTTTTTAATCATATAAAGTGTTTTAAGGAATTCTGTTTTGCTGGGGGGTGGTGGTGGAATAAAACTTCATCTGCAGTCTCCCAAATCTGCCAAGATACAAAACTGATCCAAGCAACAGTAAACATTATTCAGAACAGAGTGTAAAAGTTAGAGCACGACAAACCATTCCAGTGTTGCCTGAGCACTATATCAGAAAGCAACACGCTTTTCTGTTACACTAGATCAATTTCTTGCTGTGTTCGCTGTCATGCCGCAGAGACTATTCTTTAAAAATGTGTCAGATAGTAGGAGTAGCAAGTAACCGCATTATTAGCTTTGTTCACAGTATTTGCTTTCTTTCTCCCCTTCCCCCATGTGTAAGCAAAAGAATTAATTAGTAACAACATGGGTCAGCTGTGATTACTCTTACTGTGGTCCACAGTGAATATTCATATTCAGGGAATATTCAAAACCAAACAAGACCTCCCCACTGTGTGTGTGAAGAAGCATGTCCCTGGCCAGTGGGGGAGAAAGGCAAGCTTACCAGCGGTGGCAGGGCTACAATGCACTCATAGAGCTGCCCACTCCCCCCTTTTTTTTTTTCCTGGCACTTGACAGGGACACGAGCTAGACTGGCAGAGCGAGGCAAATATAACACAAACAACCCATGAGAAGGGTTGGAGTTTTTTTTCCCAGCTGTGCTTTTTTAATTTCTAGCCGTCATCTAACTTTTATCGCCTTTGTACCAGGCTCCCAGGCAAAATGCTTGCTGCAGCATCCTCTGGCTGTGCTGGGTGGGAAGGGAGGGTCCCTCTGTGGTCAAGTAAAGGGGAGTAAGCAGCACCTCTGAGCCTTTCTTTGAGTGGCGACAGAAGGTAGATTCGGTTGGGGAAACTTCCTGTGTGTAGAAGGATTTTTCCATTCATGGAGCTGGTTGCCCTCGATGTTTGTAGACAGGGCTTTGATCCAGCTGACAGTAAATCCAGTACTTAGGGAGCTAGCGGAAAAACCTGTGTAGTTTAGAAGGGGCTGCTGAGAAGGAAGGGGCTGCTTTCTACCTTCCTGTCTTGCAACATTTTTTTTCCAGTGATGTCCCATCTACAATCATGTGCCAGCACAGGGCGCTGGATACTGCACCCTGTGTAGCAATGATGCTGGCACAGCCCCATGGGGAGGGCAAAGGCAGGCAAAGCTTGGCTGTCCCTATGGGCAACCAGGTGGGAACCCTCAAATTAGGGGTGGGGGACATTTTTTCCCTGAAATAAACACTCCTTTCCTTTCTCCTACTGCTCTCCATAGCCTCTCCTGACTCTGGCGCCGGGGGTCAAATGAGGGTAGGGGGAGGACAAGCAAGTAGCTGAAACAGTTCAGGGGGCTGGGGGAAACCCAGCTGCAGAGCACTCACCTGGTGGGCTGTGGAAACAAACCTGCGTGCTACCTGGGCAGAGGCTGTCCCTGAGCATCCAGCTTCCATGCCCTGTGAGGCCAAGTGATGGTGCTTCTAGCTGTGGGATGGGCCAGGGTAGCAATATAGGGAAGCACCTGCAGCTGTGTGGTTACTCAAGAAGCTCAACAGCTGTGTCAAGCAGGTGACATCCCCACAACCTCCCCACCCTCTTTTTATTAATTAATGGCTTTGCCTTAAACTCCTTATTTTGTTTTGGGGTGTGGCAGTCTTACAGAATTGTCTAGGTCAGAAAGGGCCTTTAAGATGAGCTAGTCCAGCCATTGACCTAACTCTGATAAAAAACACCATTATAATGGATGACAGCCAGATTTGCAGGTAAAGCCATGGATAATTTTTGTTTCGGCAGCAGTCCACAGCAGTCCCTTATCCCACATTGTGTTGGTACATCACCTGCTTGAAAAAAGGAATGGGACACAAGCATTTTGGTTTTTTTTTCAGAAGAGGGAGAACAATATCCTGTATTGAAAGAAAGGTTGGCCTTACTAGTGCTGGTAGGAATAATTAGCTACAGGAGCACTGAGCTATCATGTCATGGTAGAGGGAGGTCCTGAAACAACTGATGGGGTGGAAGGAGCAGTGGTGAATTTGTGTTTCTGGCCTGTGACTGGGGCAGCCATTGCATTTTCTCAGTGCCAACCCACCTGGGTGGTACAACCCTCTCCTTGGCTCCCTGCTTTCCTCCAGTACCCTCAGCTAAAAGGCCTTCTCTGAGCATTCAGGGAGGAAAGATTTATTTTTCCCCTTACAGCAGTGAACTGGTTCTGAGATGCTGGATTCTTGCTTCTGGCTCACATTTCCTGTGTGACCTGGAGCACAGTAGTTAATAACTTGATAGTTCAGTTCTCCAGCTGTAATATTTTCTTTCCTTCTGACGAATATTACAGAAATAAATTCTGTAGTACACGGAAAGCGTCATGCTACTGTGATGAATGGGGATGGGGGGCAGATTTTTTAAGTCTTGACAGTAAATTTATTTTTAAAACTATACCTCTTGAAAGGTAATTTTTTTCCATTAAATTTCATGGTTCCTGCAATTCTGTGGCATTGGTACAGGTTTTTGGTTAGGAATTCATTAGGCCATGAATCCTTTTCTCTGCACCGACCTTCCTTTGGAGGCTTCTATTTCTGACCCCAGGAACGATGCCTTGTGTGAGACATGACATAGGTTGTGATGATGAGTTTGCAGTTGCCCTTTGGCCTTGATGTGGTGTGTGGATGAGTGTGTTTATGCCCCAGTGTTTATCAATCAGAACCTCTGTCTATGACATATGCAGAAACAGATGCTTGATATTTATTTCAAAACTGCTGCTCAGAATGAAGAGGAAACACGGATAGTCAGACTGAGAGAAAAATGGGTAAAGTAGGGCTGTGTTTGTACAATGTTGTTTTGGAGACTATTTTCTTCATTAGCTACACCCACAAGCATCCACATGGAAAGCTGGTTTTCTTTTTATGTCATCACCTTTGTGCAGATTTGAGAAATTAAACTTATCTGGGGTTTTAACCTCCGGTATGCCATATTGCCCCAGCCATAGCGAGTGTTCGAGCTCAGAATGGCAGCTTTATATTGTCATCACATCGTAGCATCCCACATGAGTGTGGAAGAAAGAGAAAAAGATACTTCTAAAATTCTGATCTATTTAGGGAAATGGCGGTAGCACTTTGTGAAGACGGGAGGGAAACCCAGGAGACTTTGGCTCTGGTCGTGCTGTGTCTGAGTCAGTGACAGCTATAATCATTCCCTTGATTGACACAGCAGGACTACTTTTTATCTGCGGGTATTTCACCATGGTCAGTGGAAACATCTCACTAAGTGATTCTTTAAAATTGGATAATTACATTCTCTTCCACTGCTAGCTTTTTGTTTGTAGCTGCTACATCAAAATGGTTCTATGACTGGAATCACCGTGCAAACAACTCATCTTTATATGCAGCAGACACTTGACGGTCTTTAACACTATTACTTCATTGGCTTTTTATTTAAAGACAGGGAGGAGAAGTTTCACATGCCTTAATTTAGCCTGTTATAAAGAGTATGTAGGTAGTACCTGTGAAAGTACCTAGCTCTAGAGAGGTATGTTGGTGAGCATAAGTGACAGGGATAACGCCTATATTAAAATGATTTATGATTCCAGCAGGATGGCACTTTCCAAGAGGTCATGATCGCATTACAGATCAGGAACAGCCTAAAATTAGGACCCTGATCATGCAAGCATCTTTTCGGTTAAGAGAACCCTTACTAGACACATTGTAATGTGCATAAGGGCTTGTAGGGTCTGTGCCTCAGTTTCCCTCAGTGATAATATGTAGAGTTTGTCTCTTGGCTTATTTTTGTGAAATAATATAAGTAGCCAGATTAGAAAAGATTCTAGCATCCTGTTGCTAGTCATTTAGTGCCCACTGATGTACTGAATGCATTAGTCCATAGGTACCTTTAAATTTTAACCTCAAGTCACTTTCAATAATCTAACTTTCTTTAGTTTTTTTCTCTTATCTGGATTCACTTTATTTTAACGTAGCAATGAATTGAGGACTTCTTCCAGTGTATTTTTGAAACTACAAAATGAAATCTCCCAAATGCCTAAGATTAATATAATATTGTGGGAGGTCAAAAATATTATTCAGTGAAAGAAATATACTGAATGTAAAAAGCCAGTAGGGAAAACTTGGATGTTGCAAGTGAAAGCATCGTGACTGATTGCAGTACATCCTGCATGACTTACTAATGAGTAGGCCATTAAGTTTAACATATTAATGAAACTGAAGGATTGAGAAGGCCATAATGAAATACAGGCTAAATTCTCTCACGCTAAAACTTGTCAAACCTAAAGGCAGTGTATGTCCAGTACCAGAGCAACCTGACTTCTGCAAATAAAGATGGCAGAACAGGATTCTATAAAAATAATGACCATGTTCCAAGAAAATTCCTAAATGATACTAAAATCATGGACGTGCGATGCAGTATTTCTACAAATCACATCCCTTAGATGTCAGTGCCAATGAACTCTAAAATCATTCTCAAAAATTCTGTCTATATATGTGTCGTGATTTTGCTTCAAACTGGGACAATGTTTTCTGAAATCTAAGCCTGACTCTGACACACATAGTGAACCTTGGTGATTTCCATGGATGCTCTACACTCAGCTGACTCATGGCAGCCCGGTGAGCTCATCCCATTCATGGGCTAAATCCCTTTCAGTAGCGGCGTGGCAAAAACCTTCACCAGTGGACACTTCGCCACAGACTGAAACTCCCACAGCACTCACGCAGCAGTTAAACAAGAGGAAACACAGGTTTAGAAAACAATTTTATTAGACAAATTATTTAGACAAATTATACACAGAAAGCTCTGCCACTTGTAACTGAGGCCTTCAAAAAGTGTTTTGTATATCTGTATAATAGGCAACACATCAAAATAGGCCTATTTTAAATATTGTACATGGTTAACAGGTTTTTTTAATAGCTAAAATCACTGCAACATCTGGTATGTCCCTACATAGCTTGTTTGAAAGAAATTTTCTTTTTTTTTTTTATTTTTTATTTTACTCAGAAGTGTGGATGAGTTCATGAATGTTACAAGAAGGAAGCAAGTTGTGCATGCTTTTAGACACTTGCTACCCTGGAAACAAAATGGCCTTTTGCACGATAAGAATTTGTTCTGCCTTACACAGTAGACAATATTTGAAGATTTAGTACAAAAAACAGTGACAGTACAAGATGCTCCCCCAGAACAGAATTAGCATCAAAATAGAATAGATCTGAAGAATATACCTTTTAATTTATCCTAAAGCAAATCACATAGGCTGATTCCTATTAATCCTAGCCAAAGAATGAGTTAGGTTAAAATAAGTGTATGGTTGCATTAAAAACAAAACCAAACCAAAAAACTCACAAGATAAACTGCTTGCTTTCTACTTAACCGCATTTTTAGTTTTAAGGATTACAAATTGAAAGCTCTTCCTACGTTTCTAACAGGTAACAGTGTTACTTTAAAAAGCTGGTGCCAAAGTGGGCACTGGTTTTGCTCTCACTGCTGTTCTTTCTCTTGTTCTATACAGTTGGCACTAATGTAAAAAATGCATAGCTCCTCTAAATCTAACTTAACATATAAAGGGTTAAAATGAGTGTCTGTTCATTTTTTTTTTCCTTAGAATAACACATGATCATAATTAAGGCCACATCCGTATTTCTCGAGGGCTTTTTTTTTCCTCTACTAACACCATTATTGTATTGATCAACTGTACTGATTTGGAAAATAATTTATTGACCTTTGATCTATGTTTAAACTTCTCTAGAGCTATATTAGTTGTTCATGAACGTGGTATACCTAAGAGAGAGTTCCATTTGTCTAATTAATTAAAAGTAAAATTATCAAGGTTAGCCTTATAGAATGCTCAATAGCCAATGCAAAACCTAACCAAAGGAGTTACATCTAGGTACAAACATTAAATTGCCCCGGATGTTCTAATAAAAAAGTATAAAATATGCTCTGTTGGCAAACGATGCAAGTCAGAATAACATTAAAGCAACCTGTCTTTTCTAAATGAAAAGACCCCCTGCACTGTACATCTTTCCTGTATACAACACATTTTTACTAAAGCTTTATTAAATGAATTGCAATAGCAACGGCTGCCATTTTATAGCTATATATACATGTATATATATATACATATGTGTGTGTATATATGTATATATATATGTATGAGATACTAATTTATTTAACACAACAGAGGCTCCTGCCATATGATACAGTTTACTGTACATAAGAAAAACTTTTAACACTGTACAATCACATAAAGGTCATATGCACTGTTGCAGTGCAAAAGTAGATTTAACTGTAGTCTTTACTGGCATAGTAATGGCTTTTTGTAATCCTACAAAATTGCATTCTTGTATTACGGGGCCTGAATGATCTTTAAACTTCACTTGTTTTGCTTTCATTTTTTTTTCATTTTTTTCATTTTTGCCTTTTTTTTTTTAATTTTAAAGTTTTTTAGACTGCAGGGTTTGCCTTTGGTCCACAGTTAAAAGGACACAGCAGTGGAGCACTGACTGGATGCAGCAGAATACATGAAAAGGATTTAAGTTATTGCAATTATAGTAAAAAAAGGCGGTGTGCGAGGAGGAGCAAATGCCCTTCTGTAAAGTAATCCTCAGGGTTTTTCTATGCGTGAATTGCTGCACGTTTCCTATATTTAAAGTATATGAAAAGCCTCAAGTAACCAAGACCTAACATGGTGATAAACCAAGAATAAGTGATTCAAGTAGTAAAGAGAATAAGGGGAGACAGAGGAGACCAGACTGAGAAAGCAGAGAAGAGAAGGAGGAAGAGTTGTTACTAATAATCCTGATTCTTGAATAAAATTAAAAAAAAGGACAAAAAATCCAAACAGAAAATAACTCCCAAACAAACTAAAACAAACCTCAAAACCAAAAGATAAGGAAAAGAAAAGAGGTTACATCCATGTTAGTCCCACAATATTACAGCTGCTCCTTGCAAAGGGAGTCCTAAAAAAGAAACAGTGAAGAAACTTGGTCTGATGCTCAGATAGAGGTGCCTCGGTCTGGGTCGCTACCGATATTCAGCCCCAGAGTAGGAGTTGGTTGGTAAGGGATAGATGACATTGTTTTGATGGGGCTTCTGAAAAAGCCACCGTTGGGTGCCCTGTGCCTGAAAGGGCCAGTTCGGTGGTCGGGCACGCTGCCAAAGGAGAAACCTGAAGCGGCTTTAGCAGACAGCGTGCGGCTCAGAGTCTGGATCTGTTCTGGTATGAAGGTGGTTGTGGTGATGTGAGTGTTTCTGAAGTCACTGATTTGCTCCAGTGCCTGACGCGTGGGTAAAGTGTCAATGTCCAGCGGGGTCAAGTCAATCGAAGAGGTGGAGAACTGTTTATGGGGACTGTCGTCGTCTGTGCAGAGGCTATTCACGCGCCTGTGGAGGTGCTCCAGGTCGATCTCCTTGTCATCCTGGGGAAGGAGAAAAACAAGAGGCACTGCTCACCATCGCTCTTTGTGCTGTGTTGAAGCTTCACAGTGTGATCAGGACTGCTTGGGAAGCACAACGCACAATTAACTACATCTGGCTGTTGGCTGATGGCATTTCTGAGTGTCACCAGCAAACACCCACCTCGCCTGAAGCTTGGTGGGGCAAGCCAAATGGAGGCAGACCCTTACACCACAGCTACCCTCAAACCCTGAATCCCAACAACAAATCTCCAAGTGCTACCGGTTGGTTTTTGTCAGGAAAAGCCAGGCTCGGAGCTAGGTGTGTTGGACTAGCAACAGCTGAATAGCAGTAAATTTTGTGCCATGAAAGCAAAGCATCATCTCAAATGCCTGGGATGTTGCCAGTTCTTCAACTCTGCAATGAGGACTGAGTTTGAATGTCAACATGGGAGGCTCTGAGGGATCAGGCTGCCGTCTATGTCATCCTCTCAGGGCTTAGGAAGGGCTAAAAACATCTCAGGTAGCTTTTTACTTTTATAATATAAATTCTGGCATAGAAAAGATGAACTTCCAGACAAAAATCCAAGCACTGGTGACTCGCTGACATCACACAGAAAGGAGTGCACTGGGCAATTTCAAATTACAATGCCAAAAGAGGGATTCATTCTCCCCTTACCTACAAAGAAGCAATTCCATTGGTTCTGATGGAATTACACTCTTGTGGGTGAGAAGAGACAGGTGGCCTGGGGTATCTATTATAATACATCATCCCTCCTCTTACCTCTGTCCCTTTTCCTTCTTAAATCTCTCCTCCCAAAGAACTCAGTTAAACAGGTTTGTTTGTTATAATCACAAATTTAAATGCACAGAAGTTAAAAAAAAAGAGGAGAAAGGCCTGGGTGACACAATAAATCACCTGTATTGTACATAGATATTTCTACTGAACTGCAAAGCTTAATTCAAAGCAACATTAAATATACACGTACAGGGGTATTCCCTCAGTCTGGGTAGTGCAGCTCATTCAGAATAAAAATTGATTTCAACTAACCTTAAAATTTACCTTAATCTCTGTGAAATCTACTGGCTCTTCCAGGCCACTAGAAATATCTCACACTCTAGGACCTCACAGAGGATAATTAGGCAGCCGATAGATGTGCACTGATGACTTCCAGCCTTGATTACTGCAATTCAATGACTGGCTTGATCCAGAGCTCCCTGAATCAATGGCAAAACTCCTAGTATACCGAATGGGCTTGAGATCCCTCCTTTGTCTAGGAATGAAGTCAAGCACTCTGAAAAAGTCCACACCTAGAACAAACTGCAGGAGTTCATCTACTTAGCAAAACGGATCACCAAATATTTGCACTGGTACCACGCCGAACACAGAGCCTGACTGGAAGGAGGCTGAGAGGCCAGCTCCCCTCCAGGATTGTACCCTCCGAGGGCAGGGACAGGGGGACAAACCGGGGGGAAAGGGGCACGGAACAGGGCATCAGGGATCTCCCAGGAACTGGACGATCGCTGGCCACAGAGGCTTTGGTTCGGGCTCGTCACGGGAGGGAAAAAATGCAGTGCTCATTTCTCGGACTTAGCTTTCTGTCTAGAGTTTATTCACACGTGGACATAGACATGGATGCACATAACAACCACACAGGTGACACCAAAACCAAACGCATTCACCAAACGCTCTCTCCTAGAAACTTTGGAGCTGCATATGGATGCAGGAGAACTGGGGCCACATCGGAAGCTAAAGAAATAAACAGAGGCTCTATTAGTGTGTGCAAGTCATGACTATGTCTCTGAGGGACAGTCCTAAATATTTTTCCTTTTTTTTTTTTTTTATTTTGTTTTGTGTTTTTTGTTTGTTTGTTTTAAATTTTGAAAAAAACATACAAACACCTTGTAATTTAAAATGCCAATCGAGAAAGGATTGGAATTTCGTCACTTCTGAGCCTCTATAAGTTACTCAAAATACTCCTCTTTCTTCTCTTACAGAGATGCATTTGGGGCTAGGGTCAGACCAGTGAAAATATAGAAGTGGTGATATTCTCCCATGCTTAGCCCACAACCCGATCTCCACCCAATCGATACACCAAAATGAGACCCACTCACAGTAAGATTGTGCATATCTCCATAATATGATCTTTCCTCTTCTCTCTTGTGTGATCAGTAGTGAAATATTCAGCAGTTTTCACATTTAAATTATCATCAGGCTTCAGAGTCAACATCCCATTGAGATTACTGGGGCGGTTCATACTTCTCTCAGAGCTACCGTTTAAGGCTGTCTGCAGACTCAGGCAGACATCATTGAATGGATAACTTCTGGTACGCGACTGAAATGTTATCTTCGCAACCATAAGACAATTTTTTTTCAGTATAAATGCTTGCATTCTGGAGCACAAGATGGCAGCCACCAGGAAAAAGGGTTGGCTTGCTGACCACAAACTGGCCCAATCTGACCCCCGACTCTGGACTAGTGGCCTGGAAGAGCCAATGGATTTCATGGAAGCTAAAATGAATTTTAAGAAAGTTAGTTAAGATGTATTTCTTTGCTGAATGACCCTCACATCCAGAATAGCGGGGACATTCAGCACATACGTCCACGACAAACTCAATTTTGAGCCAAGCTTTTCAATTTAGTGTTGAGATGCAATTTTTAATGCTAAGCTAATGACCACGTAACAAAGATCAAGGAGGCCAAATTATACCATTTGTGGAAAGTATACACACAAATTTCTCTGCATTTGAAAATTGAAATCGGAAATTTTGTAGTTATATATAAAAAAAAATCCATGTTATTTTTTTCTTTTAATTTGTTATTTATTTTTATGTTTTGCACCAGATAAATATGAAGGATGAAGTTCTAAAAGTTTGGGTAAACAATAATCAAGTAAATTTTAGTTTTTTAAAATAATTTACCCAGTGAAACTATATGGTTTCCATTCCTGAGAAAACCAATTTAAAGACTAGAGATTCTTTTTTTTCTTTTAATAATGGTCCGGTCCAGATCTTGAACAAAAAAAAAAAAAGCTTGGGAATGAAAACAAGCAAGAAAAGATTAAATGTATTCTAACATCAGAGCCAATGCTGTCTAATTAGGTAGTGTAATTAATCCTGCCTGATTACACAGCATTAGATTAGCAGAAATAAACACAATGGAGAAACTGCAGAGAAGGTGAGACCACTGCACACAAATTAACAGCAATACCCCACAAGCTACACAGATGTGTCTAAGCTACACAGACAGAAAAGCTATAATTGATAGCGCTACATTAAAGCTCATATTTAGGTTCAGCTTTGGGCATCGCTGCCAAATACATTTTAATAAATTTTTTGTTTTGTTTTGTTTTTCTAGTATATTGTAGAGCTAAAGAATTAATTATGAAGGTAAGAAATTTGTTACAGGACCGCATACAGCTCAGATGGCTGGTAGAGGGACAGGTGGATTGCCATGGAAAGAGACGCATTACACAGGCAGGTGTAGAAGCAAACACCTGCTTTGCAAACAAGTCTATAGTAGATATTGGAAATAAGTCTGTAGTAGATTTTGGAAATAAGTCTGGCCTGAATCTGAAAGATCTAATGTAATTCCCTGGACTTTAGATTAAACAAAAAGAACCAAAGTTCACGGACGTCTCAAGAGGTCAACGTTTCTGAAAACGGGAACAAGCTTATTTAAGAAGCTAACCATTGATTAAGGGGCTAAAGTTTGCAAATCTATTTTGAACGACTCAGCCACTGAGCTTAGGGGATATATTTTTCAAGAAGCAGCCAAGAAACCTTTGAACTTACTGGTGAGAATTAGCTCTCACCAGTGGGAATAATGAACTAAATATTGATGTATTAATAATGTACTATTCTACAAGTAACAGTTGTGGTTTACTCAGAATAGTTGCATATTTATACATCATCAATATACTGGTTTTTTTTCATTCAAACTTTTCTAGAGATAATAGATAAGGAGATTTTTTGAGGAACAACATTTACCTTAAAAAAAATCAGCAAGCTAAGGAAACTTTTCTGAATTTGATTCCCCACCCTCTCTAATCTTATAAGGTCAAGGCAGCAATCTTTAGGGTGCTTGAAAATTCCCCAGGAGAAATGGAGGGTCTAATACCTCTTTTGATGGAACCCGGGAGCCTTTCCTTTTATTCCACCACGTTTCCAACATTGCAATGAAACAGGATAGGACAATCCCAGCAGCGAGGATGCAGAAAACACCTGCAAAACTTTTTATGTCCAGGGCACCTCCTTTCTGTTTGGTATCCACAGATGAGTATAGATCACATTGACCATTCTTCGGCCACCACTTATGCTTCAGTATGTCCATGTCGCCATTCTGCTGCAGCTCCAAAATCCTTGAGGAGAAAGCAGAGAGTCAGGGGTTACAGTGGGGCAGTGGAGGTGGCACCTGAGAGCATGAGGCTGTAATCTGACTGTTTGCAACCTTCCCATGTGTCTCGGAAAGCCAAGCAGCTCGAGTCCAGATTTAGCCAGAAAAGAAAGCCAGAATAGGGGGTTG